ACCGCAGACCTGACCCTGGCCAGTCATTCTAGGGAGACCAGCAGCTGGACAGCTGTGCACCCTCAGGCTTCACAGTACTCAGAGCACTTGCCTGAGAAGCAGGGGCACGGGGAATGGCCTCTAGTCTCCTCTGTAGAATCCACAGGCCTCGCTCTTCCTTTCCATTGTCAGGTAACACAAAAGAGAGAGAGCAAGTGAAACACGTCAGGTGCACCGAAGAGCTGAGTGAAGACTCAGCCAGCTGGGACCCTTGCCCTGATCTCTGCCCACCCACCCAGACTGGGCATCAGCTACCACGGAGGCTCCATGAAGGTGTGCATCTGGTCTGCATTTAACTCACCTTCGGTCACAGGAATTTAGAATCAAGCCAATTAAAGGGCACCACAGCTGGCGCCTGTTTGGGCTGCTCTTTCTGATGTACGTCTGTCTGCACACACAGCTTCCTCCAACAGCACCACGTCCTACGAGGCACATGCCCTGGCAGAGCCCATTTTGCCCATGGGCCTCTGCTGAAGGCAGCCTCACCACGAGAGGAGACTTAGCATGGGGCCCAGTGAGTGGTCCCTTTTCCACTCTGGCTGGTTGTGTACACCTTCCTACAGAACCCAGCGCAGTGTTCAATAAGAGCTCAGTATCCATGTGACAACAGCTGCACCCCCCATTTTAGTCAGCTAATTTCGCTGCTGTGACTAAAGGATCTGACCAGAACAATTGTAGAGGAGGAAGAGTTTATTTAAGGGCCCACAGTTTCAGAAGTCGGTCCATAGAAGGCTGGCTCCATTCCTCGGAGCTTGAGGTGAGGCTGAATATCCTGGTGGCAGAGTGTGGTGGAGGGAAGCAGCCCATAGCATGATCAGAAGGAGAGAGAGAAGTCTCCCCTTTCCAGATCAAAATATATAACCCAAAGCCACGCCCCCAATCCCCACTCCTCCAGCTGCACCCCACCACTTCAGTTACCAGTCACTTAATCCCTATCAGGGGATTAATTCATTGGTTGGATTAAGGCTCTTGTCACCCACTCATTTCTTCTCTGAACCTTCTTGCATTGTCTCTCATGTGAGCTTTGGGGGACACCATATCTAAACCATAACGCCCCTCTCTCTCTCAAAAAAAAAAAAAAAACACACTGGGACACTTGACACAATATCCTACAAACCCTGTGATCCTCATGGCTCAAGAGGAGCTGGGTGGGCAGGTTGAAGACTGCACATGCCTGTGGGTCAGCGTGGGTTCCAGATGAGCATCCTCACTGACCTCACATGCCTGTCACCCCACCCCCTGGCCCGCAGGGGCCAAGGATTCATCAATCAGTCAAGATGTTCTGTGTCACAGCCTGAATGGACAGAGTGGGTCTCAAGGGGCCCATGAGGGGCAGGGCCTGCTGCTGTGACCCTCAGCATCACCCTGTGCCTGTGGGCATGGAGGAGCCTGGGGCAGCAAGCCCTCCTTCTCTCCCTACCCTGGCCCATGCCCATGATGCCGGTGCTGCCCCACAGGAGGCCTCTGCTTGTGGGAGAACACAAACAATGATACTGATTTCTTCAGGCCACTGATGGCTAAGCCCAAGTCTCATCCACTAACCACAGAATGCTGGCTGGGGCTCCTCTCAAAGGGCACATCTAGCATGGTGGGGAGAAAAAAAATCTACTGTGGCCGCAGTGGGACCTGGGTCTGGTTGGCCTTGGCCACTTTGGATGAGTCCTCAGGCCAAGGGACTTCCTGATCAGAGTCATGGGACCAGGAAAGTGACAGGAACCAGGAAGACAGCACAGAGCAGAGGGCAGATCTGGAGAGCTCGGTGTCTGGGCACAGGCAGACCATGGAAGGACCCTTCAGCCTCAGGAGGAGTGCACCCTCGGCCACACCTGCGGGGGTGCCCTTTTCCGTTCTCAATAGCTCCACTAAATTAGGACAGGGAGACAGGCTGTGACTACTATGTTTGATCTCTCATCCTTTAGAGTGACCCAAAAGACAGTCCACAGCCTGCTCATGACCTTCAGTAAAAGTCACTGCTGAAGAAAGGATCCTGGGATCCCAGACCCAGAAAAATCAGCTGGTTCAGATCCCTATGGAAGAAGACGGTGCACAAGTTGAAAAAAAAAATGTCCTTCCTTTCCCATGGGTGCTCTACAGCAGACGCCAGACGACAAGCCCTGGGAAAGGGGCCCTCTGCTGTACTAACACAGGGGCCTCGGCAACAGGGGGGCCAAGCGCAAGTGAGGATGAGAGGCCAGAGAGAAAAGGGGATCCTGCACCTATCTGTGCTGAGACCACGACTCTGGGGTCTAAGGAAAAGTGCCAGTAAAGATGCTCCCATCCCACAGAGACTTGGCAGCAGCTCCACCAAAGTCTGTCAAAAAGCCCTGCTGGGCTCCTTCTTCAGAATTCCCAGGGAGCACTGAGGGGGTGATACTTAGACCCCCCACCCACGAGCTGTGGGGCTGTGGGCTGGCGCTACCTGGAGGCTCCAGGACCACCTTCGGATCAGGAACAAGACTCCTCTCTCCTGACTCTCTCGCTTCCCTCCTCCCTTTTATTGATAGGGGTCCCCAACTGCAGTGGGGGTGAGAAAAGTGAGGAAGGCGAGAAAAGAGCTCCCCAGGTGGAGCACAGGACAGCGATCCTGCGCCCCACTCCCCTCCGTAAGTACTTCTGTCAGCCCCGCTGCTGCAGCTGCCATCTGAACTGAGTGTGTCATAGAACACAGATTTCAATTGTCTATGTCATCAGCAGCTGCCCAGGCTACCAGGGAGAGACCAGCGCTCTGGACCAGAACTGTCGCAGCTAATGGTCGTGGTGGCTAACAGAGTGCGAACGCCATCTAGTCTTAGTACCGCCATGACAATGCCACCCACGCCTTGCTGGGGCCTCTTACTCAGCATCTCCAGGTCATTGGAGCCAAAACCAAGCAAGACCCTGCTGGAAACCACTGATTTCTGCCTTTACCCTCTGGGTATGCATGCTCCAAGGAGCAGGGCAGTGTTGACCACTGAGCCTCTGCGCCCCTTACAGAACAGCTCTAAGAGTTTAGCCGAGGTCAGAGGGCAGGGTTAGGGTCCAGATCAGATTGCACCTACCCCCTTATAGAAAATGTACCCGCACCAGCCCTTCATCACTGTGAACAAACTACCTGAAAAGAACAACTTAGAGAGGGAAATGCTTATTTTGGCCCATGGTTTCAGAGGTTCTGTCCATGGTTGTCCAACTTCATTGCTTTTGGCCCAAGATGAGGCAGAACATCATGGCAGAAGGGGAAGGAAGAGGGGTGCTGCTCTGCTCACAGTGGCCAGGAAGGAAAGAGAAAGGGGAAGGGGTCTCAGAGAAGATGAACCCTTCCAGAGGACACCCCCAGTGACCCACCTCCTCCAACCATGCCCCACCTGCCTACAGCTACAACCCATTAAGTCCATTCAAGATAAGATGGAGTGGTTAGGTTGCAGTCTCACAATCCAATCATTTCACCTCCAATCAGCCTTGCATTAATCCAGAAGCTTTTGAGGGACACCTCATATCCAAACCGTAATAGCACCAACAAATCCTAAGGATTATTTCCTGGGGAACACAGAGTCCAAGGTGTAGATGCTGGGAGTTTCCCAGCAGTGGGAAGCTGTGAGGGCTAAGAAGCAGGCAAGCAGTGGCCAGTGAACCTCCACACACAACGGCACATTCCAGACCCCGGCCCCAACCTTGAGTGAGAACCAGCATTTTTGTGTGAATGCTAAGGAAACTGTACCCCCCTCTACGTAGTTGTGTGTGTGTGTGCAGCATGAGTGCATTTGTGTGTTTGTGCAAGTATGTGTATATGCATATCTTGTCGCCAGTGGATATGTGGAGCTGTGCTGTACACAGGTGTGTGTATACATGGTGTTTGTATGAGTGTCTGTGTGTGTGCCGTGTGTGTAAGTGGCACATTCAGATTAATGTGGCACATCTGAACCAAACTGAAATTCTGCAGAAGCTCAAGTATTTGATTTTTTTAAAAAGACAATTCTCTGTGTAAAGTTAACGGAGTTAACTGTAATCTTGAAAAAGATGGTCCTTCCCTAGCCAGTTGCTTACTGGTGTTTTCTCTAGTTTGGGACATAAATTGACAACTTGTTCCGAGACATGTCCAGGGCAATCAGGGGGGGCACTGATGGAAACATGGAGAGAGGCTTGCAGACGGACCTCAAGGTGAGAAGATGCAGACCAGGGAGAAATGGGCACTCCCACGTTCAACCTGTACAAAGGTACACGGTCATGGAGAAGGCTGGATTTGGAGGGAGGAGACCACACCCCAGTGGGCACATCTGCCTGTTCCCCGGTCTCTCATGTGAAAGGGTGACAGTTCAGCAGTGTGGCTGCAGAGCCGTCCCTGCCAGGGCTGGGAGAGCCCCCCCTTCCTGTACTTGATCTGTGCATTCATAAGGGAGAAACTTGCCCAATTTCTGCTCGCCACTGTGACCAGTTTTTCCAGACCTACAGATAACCACTTCCTTTCTATTCTTTAAACATCTTGCTTTGGTTACTTAAATCTACAAAGAAACTGTGGAAAACACAATCAATGTCACGTCCAAAGATAAAAGGCATCTGTAGAAATAACACTCATGAAAGTACTCAACAGCACAGTTGATTCTGGTTCTGAGCTCTGGCCCTTTCTCTGCCGAAAGGGACATCAGCCAGCCCTACAGAGATGCTCAGAACATCCCAGGACTAAGCCACGGCTTTCCGCAGGACAGAGCCATTCACACTGAATGCCAGTGAGATGGGAGGAACTTTCTCCTGAGTGGCCGCTACTCCAACACGGTGTCCTTGAAACACACAGAGGGTACCAGGCACACATTTATAAGATTCTTGGAGGTGACTCGTGGCAGGCAGTGGAGAGGGAGCCCCAGTTACCCCCAAGGGCAGTTCCAGGGTTGCTTCCTTCATGCTAGTTCAGAAATGAGCTGCTTGGCACAAAGGTGAGGATGGAGACCCCGAGAACCTACGTGGGCTGGCCCTGGGCTATGGGACATTACCTGGGTGGGTGCAGCGCATGACAGATGAGCGAGCTCCCCGATCCTGGCTGCAGCGCGGGGGTCGCTGGAGCTGATCAGAACCGGAGCGCTGATTTCCATGGAATGCCTGTGGCTAGCAGCCTGCGAGGACTTGTGCGTCACACTGAGTGCGGTGAAGGAGTGGCGTTTCTTGGCATTCTTCTTGCCGTCCACACGCCGCTGAAAGGCACTAACCGCCCCTGAGCTGCTTAGAGTGGGGCCCGGGGCCATGCTGGCCCCTGCGCCAGGATCAGAGAGCAAGGGAGAGTCACAGCCGGATGCGGTGGCAGCAGCAGCAGTGGGGCACGGCTTGTCCATCTCAATGAGTTGCTTGGCTGAGTCGTTGAGCTGAGTAAGAGGAGAGAGCAGAACGGGCTTTAGTAAACAGCTGTCACATGCCACGGCAGGCTTTTGTGTGCTCTCTCGGTCGCGTTCCCTGACAAACCAAGGATGTGTTCACAAGGGTCAAAACTTTCTCACAGCATCTTTTGGCCCGAGTGGTGCAGGAAAAGCAGAAAGAGGCAGGAGTGACATCTGTGGGTTATTTATTTATTGAGTGGGGCTGGGGGCCAAACCCAGAGGCTGTGCAAGAAAGGCAAGTATTCTATCTCTGAGCTACACCCCTGTGCCCACATTGGTAGGTTTACTAAAAAGGTTTCTAGAGCAGCCCAAAGGCCCAGGGAGCCAAGATAGAGGGCAGGTGGCTCCTCAGACATGGGGTGGGGGAGTTTCACAGGGGCCAGGCACCTCCGTGATCCCAACCTTTTCAATTGACATTTCCAGGACACTACATGCAGCAATGCAGAGAGAGAAGGAGCAGAGGTCAGAGAAGAAAGGCAGGCCCACCTCACTGAGACCCCGCAGGCCCTGCATTCACAATGACCATGGGTTCCTGCCTGCCCTACACCTCTGGAGAACTCAAGTGTGTGTGGTCACACACACTTTCTAATGGTGTGACTAATGGTGGCTCAAAGCCTGCTCTGCTTAGGGTGAGCCATGGAAGCCCTTTCCAGTGATGACCTCCAATTGACACGACTGTCACGAACCAGACACTGACCTGAATTGTAACCCAAGAGGATTCAGAGATCTATTTCCCTGGATGGATTCGGCAAGGATTCAGGATACCACTCCTTCCCGTGGCCCCCCACCCAACCTACCATATAGCAGAGTGGATTCACAGTGGAGCTTGCCTTTGACGAAAGTCTTATTTTGAGTGGGACATATCTGGAAATGTAGGATGACAGTTGGAGACTATGAGTAGCCTATAATTACTGGGAATGAATACTCCAGGTGGGCTAGGCCAGGCCTCTCTTTCTGGGCTGTGCCACCTGGGTGGCACCTGAGTGGGTTGCCTCACACACCCACTGGTGGCCCTGTCAGTCACTAGCTGACCCAGCTGTGTGGGCATCGGGTGCAGCCTTGGGTTAGGTGATGGGTCAGCTCACTGTTATGGTCTGGATATGAGGTGTCCTCCCAAAGCTCTTTTGTCAATGCAGGCGTGTTCAGAGGTGAAGTGATTCGATGGTGAGAGCTGTGACCTAATCGGTTCATCCTCGCCTGAGCGGACTGACCAAATGGTCACTGTAGGCAGGTGGGAAGTAGCTGGATAAAGCAGGTCCCTGGGGGTGTACCCTAGTCAGATAATTTGGGTCACAGCGGTGAAGAAGCTGACACACTCACCATCTAGGATCAATACTGTCCCCTGACTCCTCCACCTGGAGGGTGCTTTTCACTTAAGATGCCTGACAGGGCCCCGATCTTCTTAGTCTGTATTTGGCTCAGTCTAAGTTCCTATCTAACAGGGGATTTACTGTGATTTTAAAAAAAAAAAAAAGACAGAGAACTATGCATTGCGAGTACAAGGTGTCCAGGAGGAGAAAGTGATGCTAAGATCTATTTGGGATTATCGCCACAAGGCGGGTTAAGCAAATGCCACAGTGCTAGGTAAATGATTGTGAGATTCCATTCTTTCTCCAGCACCTTTTCAGAAACAGTCGAAGAGGCTAAGTAAATGCCAGCTGGCCCTTGGGGTGACCGACCTCCAGGAACACAGAGTTAAATATCAGGGAGCTCTGGACCCCTCTCTGCTTTCTTCTCAGATATTCTGGGCTCCAGCAGGGCCGGCAGAGCTCGTCTTTCAGGGTAACATTTGGGGCTCAGGACCCACATATTTCCCGGGCACCGTGACTGTGGGCACTACCACAGATGCTCTGCAGAGAGCAAGAAGGTGGGGTGGTTCCTGTCCAGTGGCTTTTCAGACATTGCCAGAAGGCTGCTGAGGGCAGCTGGAGGCCTTTGTGGGGAAAACAGGGCCCAGCAGAGTCTGGAATTCAGAGGCGAGAGAGGGGCAAGGAGTCCAGGAAAGTCACAAAGTGGGGAAAGATCAAATAGGAAGTGGAGGCCAGTATGGACCCAGTTGCGGACCCCCAGGTCACCAGCAGGAGCCATGCCACTCCTCTGGCCTGCTGGGCAGGTGGAGCTGTGGCATCTTGTATATGTGGTACCCTCTTCTTTGCGAAGTCCTCTAATGGGGCGAGAGGCCAGGTGCATCCCCCCCCCCAGGGTCTCACTCCCCCTGGGGGCAGAGTCTGATGTCAGACTTGGCCTAGGAAAAATCCCCTCAGTCTGGTAACAGAGTGAAAGGAAGCTCCAGGTTTCTCTTGGCAGGAGCTACTCCCTGGCAGCGCCTAGAGAAGGGCTAGTTCTCCCCACAGGGCCTGGCTCACTGGCGCTCTCCCTGGCAGGCGGGCAGGCAATCACCTGTGCAGCCTGGCTGGCTCTTCCTGCTGCCACCAGACCAGCTCAGGCTCTGGGTGCCCCCATTTCCATTACAAATGCCTGTCTCTCAGAGGGAGAGGGTGTCTCTCACTCCAGGCTCCCCCCCACCGCCCCAAAAAAAGTGTGATCTCAATCCAGGATTATTTTGTTTGAAATGTTTCCTTCAACGAGGCTCAGCTGTTTTGCTCTACTTTATGGCATTATTCGTTTGCTTCCTCGGAAGTGCTACTCAAAGAACAACTAGGCACCAGTTCGCTCTCACAGCCCTTTCGGGGGCTCCCTGAGTACCTGGATCTGGAGTTCCAGCTGCTGTTCCCCAGGGCCCAGAGGAACAAGAGAGGCAGGAAGCATGATGCCTTCCATCCATGGGCATCAGGACATGTCTCACACCACCTCCACGTGTCTCCCTGGAATGTCACTATGTGGAAATAGTGACAATGTCAGGGGCTGGGCTAACAGAATCACCTTCCTCCCCAGAGAAGCACAGCTAGTGCTTAGTTCGCCCGTGGCTCTGTGGAAACTGGTATTAGAAAGTTCGCTTTCTCATGGATCTACCATAACTTGTTGATGGATCTGAGTGATTTCGAGTCTTGGGTAATTAAAAATAAAGCTACTGTCAATAATAATAATTTAAAAAATTCTGTTTTCAAAACCAGGAAATCCAGGTACCAGCAGGTTGGTGCACACATCCAGGAATCCTGGGTCACCATACGAATGATGGTATGAATTTCCAGGTTTCTGTTGTCAGCGGTGGCCATGGCAACCAATGGCACCGCTTGGCAGTGCCATATGTCACCTCACAAATAACCACGCTGCACCCCCTGAATGACGGAGAGCTGGGGGGGGGCAGCCTGCCTTTTCCCTCTTACCCTTAAAACTCCAGGCCCATGGTGGGCGCCAGAAGTGAAAGCAAATAACCCTTCCCTAAAGCTAGGTGGGTTCAAGACCCAGAGGGGAAATAACACCTTCTGCCTCCAAGCAGTGAGCTCTCCACGCCTCCTAAGTGCTGGCGCCCTTGAGATCCCTGCAACAGGCTTGTGGCCTGCCATGAAGGCCCCTCAGGAAGGAGAGAGGCACTGTGGGTGTATCCTGTTTACTCAACTTGCCGCTGTGACAAGAGGCTTCTTGTTGGAGCCCAGCTGCTTCCTGGGTCTTCTTCCTTCCTGCCACAGGTCCTTGTTCCAACAGTCCAGAATGGACTGAGTCTGGGGTTCTCATTGTGCATCATGACACAGGACACTAATGGACCATGTGCCCGGGGCTGGCTGGACTGAGACACACACAGTGGACCCCTCAGATTCTGTGGACCCTACAGAATCTGAGACTGCTGATGTCACTCTGTGACTAGGTCCCAGGGCTAAAACTCATGGTCCGGGGCAGCTGGCCTTGTCTTCCTGACACATTTCCATTATCACATTGCAAAGATGGGCTGCACCTGGTGATCCTGGGGCATCTCCCCTCAGATGGCGCTCCTGGGCCTGCAGGCGCAGGGTACCCCCGTCCACTAGCAGCTGCCCACAGCAGCACGGGCTCTGTTAGGAGCTGCCATGGTTTTCGCTTTGTCACATTCCGAGTTGGCAGAGAAGCACACTACCAACAGGCCGCACCCTCCGGGAAGCCCAAAGGCTGTTCTTTTGCCTTAGCATGGCAACTCCAGTCCTGCCGCACCAGGCAGCGGGTGTACGGCCCAGTGGCCCAAGAGTCCTGAGAGAGGGGGAGCATGTCAGAGGAGGCTTCCCCTCACCTCCCTTCACAGCCAGAATGTTCTGTGCGTGGCTACTCACGGCTGGCTCTGAGGGGCGGGTGTGGGAGGTAGATGATGTCTCCCGAGATTCCACGGGACAGGCTCCTCCGGGAACAACAGGGCTCTGCTGCTCAACCTGCCTGTGGACGTGTTTGTCCAGTGGGCACCTCCAGCCCACACAGGCTCGCTCACGCTCAGCTGTAGCCCACACAATCCCCAAAACTCACTGTTGCTGTTTTTCTTCTAATGGAAACAGGAGACGTTTTCAACTTCCACATGAGGCAGCGAAACGGTATCAATGACCTGTTAAGTCTTGATGAGTTCATTCACTTCTCATGAGAACTCTCACTAGCGCCAGGACAGGAGGTACCCACCACAGAGTCTCCCTCTATGGGTGCCCTCTGTAGGGCCCAGCCCAACCTCAATGATCCTGGGAACACGGGGTCAAATGTAGGTGGGGAGGTTAGCTCAAATAGATGGGTACAAGGTAGCCCATAGGGCAGGATGGTCAGGCCAGGTTTGGAGGACCCTGTCTGTCAACTGCTATGGTGTGAATGTGCATAATTGTTTGTGTGTTGGACATTAATCCCAAATTCACATGTTGGTGGTATCTGGAGGTGTGGGAAGTAATTTGGATTAGATGAGGTCATGAGGATAGGGTTCCCATGATGGCATTTGAGGCTTTATAAGAAGAGGAAAAGAGGCGCAAGCTGGCACACTTGCTCTGTCTCTGCCACGTTATGATGCAGCATGAAGCCCTTGCCAAATACTAAGCAGATGCCAGCACATATTCTTGGAAGCAAGAGCCAAATAAACTTCTGTCCTT